GAAAGTAACTTGAGAAAGCATCTCGGACAAGCCCCTCCCTGATTCACACAAAGATAAAGAGAGGAAGGAAGGGAAGCACGTTCAGAATAACAGAGTTGGAAGGGACCTTGTGGGTGTCCCATCACTGGTGGTTTTAAAGAAGAGATTGGAGAGTGATTATCCGAAATGGTATAGGGCAGGGCTCTCCAAACTTGGCAACTTTAAGACTTGTGGACCTCAACTCCCAGAATTCCCAGACAGCATGGCTGGCTGAGGAATTCTGGAAGTTGAAGTCCACAAGTCCTAAAGTGGCCCAATTTGGAGACCCCTGCCCTATTTCATTGCTATCCAATCTCTCCCTTAAATCCACCAGGGGATGGGACACCCACAGCTTCTGGAGGCAACTTCTGTTCCACTGATTGACTGATCTCACCAACAGGAAATTTCTCCCTAGTTGGAGGCTGCTTCTCCCCTCGATTAATTTCCATCCATTGCTTACAAGGTTCAGCTGCTGGATTTGAAAAGGAATCCTGATATGCAAGGCGTGGTTTGCTGGTTTGCCCTGCAAAGCTGCCAGATTGGTAGCTATGCCGTTTCATGCTTTCTTGAGAGCCATCCCCAATTTTTAAAAAAGGCTAAACTGAGGTAAAGATGTGCTTGTCTCCCTGAGATGCAGAAGGTAGCAAAATGACTTTTCCCCCAAATCGATGTGCTCCAAGTGTGTGTGTGCGTGTGTGTGTGCAAATGATGGGCGTGCAGCTTCTCTTTCCATCAGAATGGTGGGCTTAGTGTTAAATATCCGGCAGCCCCCTCATGAGAACAGGTTGCGCATGGATTTAAAACAAAAACAAAAACAACACCAATGTCTTATTTTATGAGGTATTTTTATGTGGGGTGTAGGAGTCTTACCTTGTGTACGTGCTCTCCATATTAGTCACGCATGTGATTTATATTGCCAGAAAGCACCGTGAGGGAACTCTGTCCTTGGATTCTCTGAAGGTGCCTGAGCTCTGGGTCATTTCTTGGTGTGCTCCGAACTCCCTCTGGAGGCAAGAGATAAGTTGGCAGACGAGATAGGTCCAAAAATTCTTTCATTTTTTTCCTCCCGTGTCCCTTTATGATGAGACGGAGGCTTTTAAGAAGAAACTGGGCAGCCATTTGTCTGAAATGGTATAGGGTTTTCTGCTTTGAGCAGGGGCGTTAGGCTAGAAGATCTCCAGGGTTCCTTTCAATTCTGTTATTCTGCTACGACCAGGGTTTCATTTTTTTTCCCCTTTAGGAAGAAAGGAAGGAAGGCTAAATATGCTTGGCTAAGTTTAACAGAGCATAAACATTTCTTTTTGTGTGTGTGTGTCAAAGAAGAAACCCTTATCAATATTTCTGAGCATGCTTAATTGATGGGATCCTGTTTTGGATGCCTGAATCGGACAGACCTCCGGATGGAAAGGCCACGTCTGTTTGAAGGACAGCTAATGAGGGACCTTGTCAATGACCCTGAGTTGGCTGTGGCGGAACTTCATTATGCATTTTGCAAGTCGACAAACTTGTTCTGTGAGGCCTCTGGATCCCCTGCTGTAAAACAGTAGGAGTATAGTCCTCCCCTGGTTTTGTTCATTAATTTTATGTGGTTTACTTGAAAGAAAGGGATTGACATGTTCACCTCACAGTGTTAGACCATGGAGTTCTTTTTGTGTGTATGTGTGTGTGTATATGTGTGTGTGTGTGTGTGTATCTTTATATATATATATATATATATATATATATATATATATATATATATATATATGTGTGTGTGTGTGTGTGTGTATATATATATATATATGGTGTTCAGCTTGGTTCGGGTATTTTCCCACGTCATTGTAGTTCTTTTAAAGTTGTAGCAACGTTTCAGCAGAATCTCATCTGCCATCATCAGGCTTCTGTATTGTTGGTTCGGGTATAAACTGTATTGTCTGGTTACAGTTAATTTGAGCAATGCTCATCATCATAACAGTAATAATGTTCATTAGTAGTGATCATATAAGCGACAGTATTTTCTCAATATGTATTCGTTGTTAATACTAAATCATATTAACAATAAACGTATCGTAATAAGCCCTCATAGTAAAATTAATCATTCTCTTATAATTTTAAATGTTCTAATTTCTGTTTCTGTTAGCCATTGATAAAACGAATCCCATGTTTCAAAATATTCCGTATCTTCCTTCTCTTTAATTTCAAGTGTTAATCTATCCATTTCTACACATTCTATTTTTTTAAAATTATTATTATTATCTTCTCTTTCGTAGGGTTCTCCACACCTTTCCAAAGTTCTGCAAATTCAATTCTGGCCTCTGTTACAACATGTAGTATTAGATACATAGTCCCTTTATTATATTTTTCTGGTATAATACCCAACAGAAATATTTCTGGTTATAAATCTATGTGTTCTTTTATCATTTTTTCTATCCAAGTATCCATGGAGGACCATGGAGTTCTTCTAATACTCAATCCTCATCCTCTTTGGAGAAGTGAAATCAAAACTCTGGCATGACTTGTCTTTATGATTTGAGTAATGTCCCTTGATAACGGCAATCTCAGCCTTCTGTCCTCCTCTTAGAATGTCCACCAGGGAAACTGTCGACATCCTGGAGGTCATGAGCACAATCTTGGATGACCACCAACTTCCTTCCTCTCTGCCTTTGTTTTATTTTAGATTATTTAAATTCAAACAATTAGAGAGGAGGCCTCTCCTGCTGTGATACAAACACTGATTGTGTTTGTTTACAAGGACATTTCTAAGGCTTACAAGAAGGCAGCCCTGGCATTTTTAGAAGCCAAAATGTTGGGTTTACTCAGGGCCTTGTACAGAAATGTGTCCAAGGTTTCTAGAGGAGAGGAAGTAAACATCACAATAAAATGGAGTGAAACATTCAGGAGGGTGGACAAACTATCCAACCATTTGCTTTCTACATGTCTTGTGACTGGTTCAGGTCAGTTATGACCATCACACCGTGAAAACACCAGCATTTAATTTGAAAATGTCAAAATATTCCCATGGATTCCTCAAAGTTACCCACCTAGACCATGCCCCCAATATGCCTTCTACAGAAGGCCTGGTTTCAGGTCACTCGGTTGCAACTAACTACTGAGTTGCAATATCGGTGCAGTTTAATTATCTGTACCTTGAACGTAAATTAGATTTGTTGATTATTTACTCGTTGGGTCCTTGGCTCAGTTCCATCTACTTTTTTTTGGTAACCAATTATTACAGGCCCTTGGTACAATAATGAAAGCTAACCCTATCCTAAGATATGTCACTTATTTTTTTATCTATAATGCTGCTGTCTTAATTCTAACCACAGAGATAAGTTCTGTGATTACGTAAATCTTATTATTTGATCCAGAAGTTAGGGGGCATGCATAAGCGCACCAACGTGCCTACCGCCCCTGTCCTATTGTTTCTTTTATTTTTCTTATATGTATCCATGTATTCATAACTGTTTTTACTTGTACCTATTATCTGGTAAGCAATTGACAAACCAAATAAAATAAATAAATAAAATAAAAATAAACCCAACAGTTGGAAAGGTTTTTTTCTGCATGCTCAGATATCCCTTGCTTAACGTGGTGAGGAAAATTTGAACTGAGGTGCCTTTTCGAATACAATCATAGATGGTCTGTTTATTCTCATTATACTATAATATTGACTGTGGTTATTTTAAATGCTTTTTGCTGATTGTTCCCCATGCTTTATCTTGCCAGTGTGACCCTGTCAAATGCGTTGCTCTGCCCTGTCACTCTTTCTGTCTGATTTTTGAAGTGGAAAAGAAATGATCATTGTCCTTTACTTTTGTCTAACCATTCCAGCTTTATCAGCTTACGAGCTCGATTCCCTTGGTTCGCTATGAAACTATGTGGTCGGGCTTAGTTTTTGGGGAGGAAAATTAGGGAGGGAAAATTCTGCCTCTGCCTACCAGCATCCATCGGTATTCATCTGGCTAGCGTCCTGTCAGTGTATGAGAGAGTTGAGGGCTGTTTGGAAACTGAAAGAGTATTTGCTGTGTGACCAAGAAGGAGACATCAAGGAGCCTGGGCATGGCTTAGCTCAACTGTTCTGTACTAAAGCTGCTTGGTGCTGTGAAACTGAAACTGAAACTTCTCTCCTCTGCTTGTGTTTTGCATTTGGAACAGATTTTTTTTTCAGGTGGGGAGGGGGAGTAGAACTCCTTAGCATCAGAGCATGTGTTAATAATAATAATATACTAAATGCTAATGCTCTGATGGTCCTTTCGAACAATCCTTTCTTAGTGAGCACCTAGAAGCCAAGAGGAATATACATGACAAATTTCAAGTTTGTAGGCTTTACGATTCTGGAGATTTTGTGATGATGCATGAGTGGTATTTCTCTTTTATATATATTGAAGATAAAAAGAATATCAGCAAGGCTAGCAGGAAACACACTGAGCCTCCTTCATCTGGTTATTTCACCTCTCCTGCTTTACTCCATCTAACTAAGTGAATGGATTTGCAGTGCTGAAAAGCCACCCAGCAGTGGAACCCTGCCTGCTGATTTTGCAAAAGTGAGATAGAGGCAACGGTCAGCTCTTGACCGCTGAGCGTTCGGTCAAGAGAATTCTGGAAGGCAGGACTTCTGCTGCCTGAAACATCTCATAGCATCATCAGTCCATGTTCTGTGGGGCCTATCGGGCACCTGTGCAGAGGTCTATTCAGGTTTACGCTTTTGGCTTTGAAAAAAAATCTCAATCTTGCCAAAACGCAGATATGTGTGAGATCCTTGGTGCTCTCTGAGCTTGGTGGTTTTCTAGCAGACGTTTCGTTACCAAACTAAGTAACACTAACAGTACTGATGGAAGTTACCTAGTTGGGTAATGAAATGTCTGGAAGAAAACTACCAAACTCAGAGAGCACCAAGGACCCCATAGTGCAACCTGGAGTTTCTGATATTCTCTTCTTTTGGGCGATATGCGTGTAGTAACTTCTGGCCATAAGGAACATTGAACATTTCTTCATTTTCTTAGGTACCAACTGTTGACAATGTCGTCAGGTGGTCCGGGGTCCCGTGTTGCAGAGCAGAAGCCTTTAGTCAACAAAGAAGATGTAAGTTGTGCTCTCTGAAACCTGATTGTTTACTTGCAGATGTTTCGTTACCCAGCTAGGTAACATCACCAGTGCCACAAGGCAGCAGGGTTTGCTGTCAGCTTAAGAGATGAGTTTGCATAACTGCACCAGAAAGACTGCCAAAGCTTTCAGACTCAAATCGCAGACCCTGTCCTGCAGAGCAGTAGGAACAACATGTATGGGATAATCCTCCCCAGCACTCACTCGGCAGTGATTTTCATATCTGTCTACTGCCATGTAAGCTTGTTTAAAATGCTATCCACATCATTTGCTCTGTCCGCTTATCATCTTAGCATGCCCTGCTTCTTGCAGAATGCTTTCTTCCACAAATGTAATTCGTTATTCTAGTATGTCTTCAATTTTCACCCTCTCTTTCTTCCGGAACTCAAAGTAGCCTGTTTGGGAGTTGTGAAATTGGATGGACAGAGAGAAAGTGGCTGATTCAAAACTACCTGGGGGGTGTTTGGCACTTCACCATTTAAAAGATGCTGCTGGGTCCCCAAAATGTAGTGCCATTCAGTGAAAAGTATAGATTAACAGTGAGCAAATTGGTCACCTGAATTCTGCAGAACTTCCTGTGATAAAAGAGCTGAAAACCCATGGAACAACTTCCTGCCCTTTTGAGAGATGCAAAGTGACGTAAATCCTAAAATGAGCTTTGCTAGGCCTCTATTTTGGAGGCGGGGTAGGGCGATTTGGCACAAGATCGATTTCTCCGGGGAGATGCCAGCTGCCATGTACGGTGTTCCAATATACAGGGAGTGGTCATTTATGTGAGCCAAATTTAGTGACGGTTTGAGTAAAATCAATTTTATTGTGGGGTTAGGAGGCATCACACGGGCCACCAATAAGCTGGGACGCCTTCCTTTCTTCCTCCTACAAGTCCCAGTCAACAAGATGAATGCTTCTGAGGATCTGCAAATGATACGAATCGTAAGATTTCCACTTAGGGGAGGAATGATGGAGTTAATAGCATCTGTAGGCTCTGGCCTTATTTATCAGTGCAGTCCTGATCTTATTTCTGGATTGGACCCAGGTTGATTTTATTTAGGGCAGGGGCCTTCAAACTTGGTCACTTTAAGACTTGTGGACTTCAACTCCCAGAATTCCCCGGCCGGCTGGCCGGGGAATTCTGGGAATTGAAGTCCACGTGTCTTAAAGTGGCAAAGTTTGCAGATCCTTGATGTAGAGTCACTCAGTGGGCTTCCCAAAGACCCCTGTAACTTCTGCCCCGTTGGTTTGGTGAGATCCTCTCTAAACACGACGCCATCTTATTTCATTAAACTTACATAAAGGGGGCAAAGCTAATAAGAAATCTCCACAGCATTTATTTCAGAAATGAAACCTTTGGTGCTTTCGGTCTTGTAAACCCTCTTGTAACTTCTCTTTTCTAGGCCATCACTCGTCTCCTGACTGATATCGAGGTTGACATTCATGTAAGTGTTTTCAGACTTTTTAACCACGGTTAAATATCGCCATAGGAATTTAAGGAAACATAGTTGATTCCCTTTAAGTGGTCCATGGAGACAGCCGATCACTATAATATAAGCGGTAACATGAATGTTTCATAGAAGCACTTAGAGAAAAAGGGTTCTTGGGAAAGCAAATTTCTGATTAAACCTGGCAGATGAACAAGTTGCCGAGTTTGATTTATGTATTTTCAAACTTTTGCATTTAACTCTTTCTTTGGTGGTGTTTTCCGAAGCTTGCAAATGCTAAGGAATAGATGCCCCACGAAAGAGTGATTGATTTATATTCCCTGTATATCAGCTTGGGGTCTTCCCACACTGATCAGAAAGAAATTTTAATGAAATAATCCATGCTGGAAATGTTTGGTTTTATGTTTTTTTGTTTTTTTGCTCAGCCAGTAAGCATCTCCAAATTAATTTCAACCAGGGGTGGCTGGCTGGGGAATTCTGGGAGTTGAAGTCCACGAGTCTGAAAATGGTCACGGTTAAGCCCTCCACCCAAATTTAAACGAAGGTTTGCAGAAAGATTTCTTTGGGGGGGGGGGTAATAAACTTTTATTATTTTTATATTTTAAAAACATCTCTTTCAGTGAACAACGCAGTTCCAGGTTTACACTTCAACACAAACATGACCTTAGTACATATTTATCTTTCACATTCAATTCTATATCATATCACTACTTCCATTTTCCAGTAAATTTTCTCCATTTCTAAATAACTATGAAAGACTGGCTTCCTAATGTCCTCCACTTCACCAATACAAGGACAGAGAGGGGCTGCCATAGAGAGGAAGGGGTCAAGCTAAAGTGCCTGTAGGCCAGACAAGGAATAATGGATGGAAACTGAACAAGGAGAGATTTAACCTGGAAACAAGGAGAAACTGTCTGACAGTGAGAACAATGGAATAGCTTGCCCTCGGAAGTTGTGGGAGGCTTGAGGCTTTCAAGAAGAGATTGGACTGCCATCTGTCAGAAATGGTGTAGGGCCTTCCGCTTGGGCGGGGGGTTGGACTAGATAACCTACAAGGTCCCTTCCATCTCTGATTATCTGTTATCCAGAGAGACTGTTTGCCAGGGTGTGCTTGCAAAATCTCCCTTTGAGCTAGGCGAAGGGAGTAACAAACGATGCTCAAGCTATTCTCAGTTAAAGCACTGGTTCTATTAACTAGATACTGGGAAAGGAAGGAAGCCCAGAAAAAGCATTCAGCGATAATTTCACTTCCATCAAGGCTAACAAACGCTAGTTCCTTATGACCATTAACCATTCAACTTGCTTGGATATCCCATCCAGACTGCAATAGCCCTTAGCCCTTAGCCTTATATGCCACTTCACACTGCTTTTACAGCCCTCTCTAAGCAGTTTGCAGAGTCAGCCTATTGCTCCCAACAATCTGGGTCCTCATTTTACCCACCTCAGAAGAATGGAAGGTTGAGTCAACCTTGAGCCTGGTGGGATTTGACCTGCCAAATTTTTGCAGTCAGCAGAAGTAACCTGCGGTACTGCACTCTTAACCACTGCGCTACCGCGGCTCAGACTTTATATACCACCCTAAAGTGCTTCACAGCACTCGGGGGGGGATTAACAATGTCAGCATTATTTGAATACTGCCCCCAACCATCTGGGTCCTCATTTTACCGACCTCGGAAGGATAGGAAAGCTGAGTCGACCTTGAGCCAGTCAGGATCAAACTCCAGGCTGCGGGCAGAGTTAGCCTTCACTGCTACATTCTAACCACTGCACCACCAGAGCTCCTAGGTTTCCCCAGGTTCAGGCGGTATGCGTTTGGTCCTCCTAGGGAAAAACGCTCATCAACACATTGTGGTGTGGTAAGTGAGCCAGTCCATCTCTTTCTCCAGAATTACAGCAATTAGGAGAGCAAGCTTTGCCCTTCCTGAACTCAAAGCAGATTTTTTTTTTCTTTGCACCCTGAGAGAGAGGTACATTTTGCCGCTAACCTGGGTTCGAACTCTCAACCTTCCGAGCGGGAGGCGAGAGTCTTCCCCACTAGGCCACCACGCCGATCTGAATTTGCAATAAGAACCTCAAAATGCAGCCCAGACACACTACTCTGCAGTCCGCTGCCAGTTTTCTGAAAGGCGCCAGATGGCAGCTTGATCTTCAGCCTCCTATCGGATTAGTGCATGTACCTGGGATATTTTTATTGCCAAGGCGAGGGTTGCAAGCCCCAGGGTTGTCAGCAAAGAGCCTCTTAGCGACAAAACTTGACGTTCATTAGGATGGGATGACCTCTGCTTTCTTGGGGGAAGCCTCCTGCAAGCCCCACAGATTTCACCCAGGGATGACTGGAGGCAACTGACAGGCGGAGTCGTGTGCCGAAGGGCTTAGAGCAAGAATTGAAGGGCATCTCAGTGCAGGCCATTTATTAAATTGGATCCTAATCCTTGTCTAGCCGTGGTTACTGTGGGGTGTATAATCTCCCCTAGCCCAAACTTCTATGCAGCCTGAAAGGTTTCCTGGTCTCGTAGTGAATAACCAGTCCGTTTGAAGAAGGCAGATTTTTCTATGGGCTTGTTGGTCTTAAAATCTGGAAGGAAAGGTTATATCTGAGTCCCTTTCCCCAAGGGAGCGTCCTCGATCAGGGACCACAGAGAAGGGCCTTCTTAGTCTCCATCCCTTCTATGGGAGTTCAGGTAACAGCTAATTTTTTTTCCCAGTACGCCTTTCGCGCCTTTGAATCCTCCGACAGGAAGGAGCGTTTCATGGAAGAGGTTCTTAGAAGTGCCTTTTGATAAGATATTTCAATTTCAATTCAGATTAGAGCTGGAAGGGGCCTGGGAGGTCATCTACTCCAACCCCCTGCTCAAGCAGGAGTCCCTCTCCCATTTCAGATAAGTGACTGTCCAGTCTCTTCTTAAAAACTTCTCCAGGGATGGAGAAACCACAGCTTCTGGCAGCGTACGACAATCGATAAAACAACAAATACAAAACAAGTCATTATAAAAATATTTTTAAAATCTTAATGAAATTAACACTACAAAAATGAAAATATAAAAAGGGCCCTTTCTCTACTTGTAAGACAGGGGCTTGTCTGGACAATGATTATAATCCTTTGCAACCCACGTGCACACAATGTTTGCTGGAGGGCAGGACCCAGATTCCTGCTGTTAAGCCACCTTTAAATCTGATTTAAGGATGATGTCGCGCAATAGTTTCCTTGCTAGGATTCAGGGCTTAGGCAGGGCAGTCGCTTGGCTATAAAAACCAGTTGCTCCCCAGATCCCAAACAAAAGCTGATACTTATTTTTCTCGTTGGATTCGTTGTGATTAACTTCAAACTGTACTTTCTAAAAATGGTGCTCAATATGGAAGACACTGCTTATTTGTTGCATAATGCTGTAAGTATTTTGGGAAGGAAAGGGAATATAGAAAGCTAGAAACAAAACAAACAAAATTATTGTCACTATTGCTTTGGATTTCAAAGTTGGGGGTAAATTTTGGAAGCTTATTTTTTCTTTGATTGCTGATGACAATGTCTACATTTATGACTGCCAGGAAACATTTATGACAGGCTTTTGGCATGAAAGAGAAAAAAATATATGATGTGGTTTTGATGATTTTTTTAAAAAAATAGATAGGGGAAAAATGAGCTAATTTGTAATCATGGAGTGAGCTTTGTAATCATACAATTGTTGTATTTGTTGCAAAGGAAATTAGAAGCTGCTTTTTATTTCTTGTTATGCTTTTTTTTTTTGCACATTTGTTTTTCCCCCCTTCCTTTCTCTTTTCTTTGTTGTCTCCTGAATTCATGTAAGTTTTTATGTTCACTTTAAAACTTTTAATTACACACACACACTAAACAATTGTGACCGGTTGTTCCGGTATATTCTTTAATTCTGTACTACTGAAGCAACCAGCAAGTTTAACAGCCAGAGTTCGTACGAATTTTGAAAGGGAGCAAAACGGCAAATGTTTCCATTGGTTTTTAACCCTCTGCGTTTCTTTGGGATGAGATATTGATAACACCCATGCGCTGATCAAATGTACTGAGCCCTCTTTGCTTCAGTAAAGTTATTAGCTCATAATGCCTTCATTCAGACATCTAACAATTTCAGCCTGTTGATATAACCAAAAATGGATGGATACTATGGAACACATAGTCCCAAATATTGTTTAGTTTAGTTTACTTTATTTATTGTCATTGCACCTCGTACAATGAAATTAAATACCATCTTCAGTGCACATCATGACCATGAAAATAAACACAAAAACACATCCTTCACATTCTATACCTTGAATTGAAAACCCCTGATACTGCATTCATATTGCACTATACAGTAGAATTCAGTAGAGTTACTGCCCTGGGATGGAAGCTGTTTTTCAGCCTATTTGTCCTTGTTTTTATTGTCCTGTACCATCTGCCAGATGGTAATAGTTCAAAAAAAAAAAAAAAAGAGTGCCTTGTTTTGAACTATTACTTTTGAACATCTATTTGAACATCTGGCAAAGATTGGGTTGTGTCTCCCCGATGTTTTCTACATAGTGGGAAAGAGAGACTCTGGCAACTTTCTCTGATAGAAGTTGGCAATCGTATGAAGTAATATGCAGTAAACTTGCAGAGAATCGTAGTAATAAAGGAGACTATTTGTAGCTCAGGGTGTCCTGGTTCCGACTGATGAACCCAACCAAGCAAGTACAGTTGAGACCTTCTGATCTCTGAATGCAAAACTTTATTGAGCACATCATATCAGCACAGAGTGAAAGCAAAATCAACTCTACCTAATTCCCGTGGTTTTCACATCATTAAAGAATAGAATTTCCCTCCCCTTTTAGTGCAAGTCACACTGTCCAATTAGACGGCCAGGTATTGTTTTATGGAAACTGTGTAAGTCTCGGATGAACATCTGTTAGATGACCTTGGTTCCCAGGGGATGATTTCTTGCCGCCACCTGGAACTGGCATTCCAAAGGTGGCTCTCCCTCCCCCTTATTGTTGTGGGCAGCTGAAAAACAGTAATGGCTGCGACAGCAAAATCACGCTTTGAAGACACAGGGTTGAAATGAGGGATACTTGGTGCTCTCCGAGCTTGGTGGTTTTCCTGCAGTCTGCAAGAATTTCCATGGCAGACGTTCCCATCACCCAAACCAGGTAACATCATCAGTGCTAGAAGATCTCTACTCCCTTCTAGCATTGATGATGTTACCTAGTTGGGTAAGGAGATATCTGCAAGAAAACAACGAACCTCAGAGAACACCAAGGAAAAAACTCAACGCCCAGTTTGACCCTCTCTTTCATTTTTACTCCTCTTTATTCTGACGGGAGGTCCAAATAGATCATTACTAAGGACTTCTTTTGCCCTTGTAAGTACAAATGGATAATTTGTCATTTTTTAACTATACTCTTGCAGATGTTGAGAGTAGAATTCAGCAGGACTACTTAGATTAGTTTTGACTGGTGCTACCAGATGTTATATGTCAAATACTTGGTGGGATTCAGAAGCCTTTATGTTGAGGTGCAGATGGCTAATGCTGCCTTCTCCCACAGGAACAAGACATTGAGACCGTCCATGGGTCAGTCCATGTCACCATGTGTGGAACACTCCGGGGAAACAGACCTGCCATTCTAACATACCATGATATTGGGTTGAATCGTAAGTATGTCTTGCCCATTCTCATATCTACCCTGCAGTGGAGAACTTCTTATTTCTGGCTTAGTTACTCTGTTTTGTGCCTTGTGATCTAATGTAGTTTTTCCAAAAAAAGGTATCCTTCCTGTGTGATGGGACTGCAATTCCCAGGAATCTCATCCAGCTTCCAAGCTCCCTGGGAATTCTGGGAGATGCAGTCCTGACATATCTGAAGGGTAAAAATTTAGAACGGCTGACTTTAACATTAATGCAACATTGGCTGAGTTCACATATTGTGCTAAACTATGCCTTGTTTCAGTTGGCTTTTGAAGAAGCAACAGTGACATGGCAAAAAACAACAACCACCCCCCCCCCACACACACACTGATTTGAAAATCAGTATGTCATCGCATTATGGCTTGGCACAACACAGTAGGCAAACCCATTCAACAAATATTTTGTATTGATTTTTGTGGGCTGCTGGATGAAGGATGGAAATTCCTTGGTGGAATCAGAACAATTGTGAATCGGTCATGCTAAAAGTGTGTGGGACTTAAATTTTAGAAATCCCTCATCAAATTTTCCTGTAGCAAAATCCACTTTAGCTATGGCTGCATAATAGCTGTGGACTTAAGTGTTGCTTTTAAATACGAAACTGCATTTTTGTATAGCGAAATAGGTCTGTCACACAGGAAAATGGTTTTGCGATTTTTTTTACCTTTCATCCAGCAACGGTCTCTTCAACTAGAAATGAGCATTGTGCAAACTGCAGGCCCAAACTGATGAAAAATCGATGAAAAGCTTGACTTGGAGTAGCCCATATATCCACACTACAAAGAAAAGCTCTTTTTCAGATTTGTGTTGCCACAAAAATGCAGAGAAATGAAGCGTCCGTGCAGCTTGCTGTCCTAAAAAACTGCTTTTCCTAAAAATCAAGCTAGGCGGTCTTTTTCTACAACGTTGTAAACATCTCTTATTTTCATAATATGCGTAGATGGACACAGTGCCTGTCCATTTCACCGTGCAATAAAATTGCAAGGGCTCTGTGGTGATTAGTCCCTCTTGAGAAGGTCTTTTTCCAAGGTTTGCCTGTTTTAATTGAGTTGCACCTTCTCCTTTGCTTCCCTCCCAAAGACAAGACGTGTTTCAACCCCCTCTTCCACCATGAGGACATGCAGGAAATCACACAGCATTTTGCTGTCTGCCACGTGGATGCCCCCGGACAGCAAGACGGAGCACCTTCCTTTCCGCCTGGGTTAGTGGTTCCTCCTTAGTGGGTTTTAATTTGGAGATTTTAGCCTCAGTTGCAAAACGACTCATATGGGAAAGAAGGGGAAATTTTACTGGCCAGGTTTTTTTTTCTTCTTGTTTCTGAAGCATAATTTTAATTTCCCATTTCCTTATTTCTTCTCCGGGAAAATAGATGCTGATTTACAAACGGTGCAACCAAGCTTGTAGTACAAATAGTTCTTGATTTACAACCATTAGTTAGGGACCATTTGAAATTAAAACAGCGGTGAAAAAGGTAACATAGCTAGTTTTCATACTTATGACCGTTGCAACATCCCCATGGTCACCTAATTTACATTCAGATGTTTGACAACTGACTCAACATTTATGATGGTCGCAGTGTCCCAGGGTCGTGTAATCCCCCTTTTCAACCTTCTGACAAACAAAGACAATGGGTAAACCAGATTCACTTAACAACCATCTTACTAATTTTAGAAATGCAGTAATTCGCTTAATAAACGAGGTGAGAAAAGTCTTAAAATGGGGTAAAACTCACTTAACAAATTTCTCACTTAGCAACATAAATTTTGGGCTTAATTGTCATAAATTGAGGACTAGCTGTAGTGTGTGTGTGCGTGCGTGTGTGTGTGTATACCTACCATCCTTTAAGGGATTTGTAGTGTGCCATGATTCCCTCACCCCAGTTATCAAACCTAATTACAAACCTAGTTCTTCAAACTCTCTTTGTTGATATGGATGTATACTACTTGGTTTATTGTTGTTGCCCTCCTTTCTCCGAATCCTCCTTAAGTGAGGATGAAGTAGATTAACTACTTCCCATGTTTTGGAAAGGGAGTTACATCTTTCTAACATTTGTTTTGTAGGTACATGTATCCTTCCATGGATCAGCTGTCTGACATGCTTCCTGGAGTTCTAAAACAATTTGGGTGAGTAGAATAGAATGCCTCAAGTTTTTCCAACCAAGCCTCAGAGAAACCATTTTCCTGTTCCCTCACAAGCATCTTAGAAAACGGTTACATATCTGTCTTCTTTTCTCTGGTGGTTATTAGAACTGAAGAGGTTTTAGAATCCATTGTACTTTGGAGCACTAGTGGTTGAAAGACTCCACATCTCCCTCATTGGGCTGGTTAATTGGAAAAAGAAAAACTTTCATATCTGATGGCCATAGTAGCAGTAGATGGGTTGAACGTTCTTCTTTTAGAAGCAGATTCTTCTGCCACTATCCCCAAAATATATTTTTTTTCTGATACAATTCCACTGGCAGAGAAATATTTAAATTCACTCCCTCTGGATTGTGTGGTAGGTTTCTGAATTAAAAGTGTTAACTGGTTATTAAGCAATATAATTTAAGCAGTTTAATTTAAATTTCAATACAACTCATATTTACTTATGAGTTTCATATAAAGTTTTATGTAAATGTAAAACTTATATTTACTTAACTGTTTGCTGTACTGCTCAGCAGCCTTCTTTCTGCAGCTAGTTGAGTTGTGTAGAATCTGTTCTGACTCTAAGTCTAAAACTCTGAGCTAATCTTTAAACTAATCAATATGATTAAAGCAAGTATTTGCCCACGGGAGCTAAGACTAAACTATTTACCCTGACATATCTAGAGCACGAGGTCAACTCTTAAATCTTCATGCCATGTTTGAGGGCTTGTGCTGGGACAATTTTTGTTTGCCTTTTTGTTGGGGGAATAGAAATAGTTGGGATGGAGATGTCTTCTCCAAATGACCTCCATTCTGTTCTCAACGGACATGGAGCAACTGCTGAATGCATATTGAATATGAAATATAATATCCAGAAATGGAAAGCATTAGAAGCCAATACGCAACTTCACATTCCTTTTTTTTTTTAAAGATAATTTTATTTCTAATTTGCCTGAGTTTTTTCTTTCTTTTTAGATTGAAAAGCGTGATTGGAATGGGAACTGGAGCTGGGGCCTACATTTTAACCCGATTTGCTGTAAGTTGGGAATGGGGCGGTTTGTTTGTTTTTCTAGTTGCACATTTTGTAAAACTACTATAAACTTGAATGCAATACACTATTTTCAGCTTCACACCTTCTGATCTGCTTAACCTTAATTTGAGTAGCAAACATCCAGTATCAAACAAACAAAAATCAGAATGTGATATAACTTCCTCCTCACCAAGTAATGGCTGAGATTTGAGAAGCCAGAGTACAGTGTGAAAATATTTCACAATATTTCTGTAGGAGATGACCAGGCTAAGCCTGAGGAAGGGGTCAGATGTGCCCATTAGCCTCAAGTCCCTTCACACCAACAAGAGATTATTAGTATTATTAGTATTATTAGGTATGTTTAAATAATAGGAAGACTGGTATTTGAATGGCGTATTGTGACTTTGAACAACCAAATAATGAAGGACAATGTCTTAATATAAACATGTGTATTAACACCAGGCTTAGCAAAGGTTGACCTGATTAGAAGCTAGAATAGAGGTAGAAATAGGAAATAGGGAAAATATTAGCAGATATAATTTTTATATAACAGAATATAAGTAATAATTTGGTGGAAAAGATCAGAAGTTGAGAGATAGTATTACCATGTATGCTTATAGTATCATTGGCATTAAAATGGAACATTGGACTATTGAATAACTACTCTAAAATGTATATTAATACTAGGATTATATAAGTTTGATTAATATAACAACTATTATGATTATCATTAATGCTGTTCGTATCAAAATGATTATACCCAGGGGCCACACTGTTCATGTATTGATATTGATGTATACTTAAAAAGAAAAATTCAATAAAACTTGGGTGGGGGGGAGTCCTCATATTTTACCTCTGTCCCCCCACCCATCATATCTGGCTGTTCGCTCATGTGCCTGTCTTCAATCTGCAGCTTAACTACCCTGATATGGTGGAAGGTCTTGTTCTTATCAACGTCAATTCATGCGCTGAAGGGTGGATGGACTGGGCCGCAACCAAGGTAAAGACATTTGTTTAAACTTACCTTAAAACAGATCAAGGTGTGTTTAGAAGTACAGGGATTACGGAAATAAACATTACCTGGGACTTAGAAGCCAAGCTGTTCTTGTTTTTAATGTTTCTTAATCCTTTGAAGCTTATAGAGTGAGGGAACTCATAAAATACACTGCTCAAAAAAATAAAGGGAACACTTAAACAACACAATGTAACTCCAAGTCTATCACACTTCTGTGAAATCAAACTGTCCACTTAGGTAGCAACACTGATTGATCAGTTTCACATGCTGTTGTGCAAATGGAATAGACAACAGGTGGAAAGCATAGGCAGTTAGCAAGACATCCCCAATAAAGGAGTGGTTCTGTGGGTGGTGACCATAGACCACTTCTCAGTTCCTACGCTTTCTGGCTGATGGTTTGGTCACTTTTGAATGCTGGCGGTGCTTTCACTCTAGTGGTAGCATGAGACAGAGTCTACAACCCACACAAGTGGCTCAGGTAGTGCAGTTCATCCAGGATGGTACAGCAATGCGAGCTGTGGCAAGAAGGTTTGCTGTGTCTGTCAGTGTAGTGTCCAGAGCATGGAGGCGCTACCAGGAGACAGGCCAGTACATCAGGAGACATGGAGGAGGCCATAGGAGGGCAACAACCCAGCATCACACACACTACTGAGCCTCATTTTGACTTGTTTTAAGGACATTACATCAAAGTTGGGTGAGCCTGTAGTATTTTTTTCCACTTTAATTTTGAGTGTAACTCCAAATCCAGACCTCCATGGGTTGCTAAATTTGATTTCCATTGATAATTTTTGTGTGATTTTGTTGTCAGCACATTCAACTATGTAATGAACAAAGTATTTCATAAGAATATTTCATTCATTCAGATCTAGGATGTCTTATTTTTGTGTTCCCTTTATTTTTTTGAGCAGTGTATAAGTGTTCAGTGTATCCTTTCAGGGCTAAACATTTAATGGGGGAAGAAAACATACTTCTTAAAGTACAGGTAGTCCTGTACTTACAACCACAATTGAGCACCAACATTACTATCGTAATATTGTAAAGTACATAGTGATTGTAGTGATTTTCTTCCGGCACCAGTGAATAGCCATGGCTAGATCTGAATGCAGATGAGAAAAATCTTTGCTTATAAACTTGGTAGCTTCCCGCATTCAGCTAATCAAAAAAGATTATTGTTTATATTTCTTTATTCACTCTGAATACAAGTAGTTCTCGGCTTATGACCACAACTGAGTCCAAATTTTCTGTTGCTAAGTGAGACATTTGTTAAAGTGAGCTTTGCCCCCATTTTATGACTTTCTAGCCGCCGTTGTTAAATGAAATCCCTTGCGGTGGATAAGTTAGTAACCTGGTAAGTGAATTGACTTTGTCAGAAGGTCGCAAAAGGGGATCACGTGACACAGCAATGGTCATAAATAGGAACCAATTGCCAAGTGTCTGAATTTTGATCACACGATCACGGGGATGCTACAAAGGTAACTGTGAAAAAAGGGTCATAAGTTCACATTTTTCAGTGCCGTTGTAACTTTCAACGGTCACTAAACAAACTGCTGTAAGTCAAGGACTTCCTGTATATAATTGAATGCCAGTGTGTTAACATGACTGAGGTAATGGTACATATGATCCTTGGAGTGTTTGAATTATTCTAATGTATTCCTTTGTTTTTTTAAAAAATGTCTAGATTTCTGGATGGGCTCATGCTTTACCAGACCTGGTCATTTCACATCTTTTTGGCAAGGTAAGCCTTCTTCTTTAGTTTAGTTTAGTTTACTTTATTGTCATTGCTCCTCGTACAACGAAATCAAACACCATCTTCAGTGCACATCATGGCCATGAAAATAAACACAAACACACGTCCTTCACACTCTACACATTGAATTGAAAACCCCTGATACTGCATTCATATTGCACTATACAGTAGAATTCAGTAGAGTTACTTCCCTGGGATGGAAGCTGTTTTTCAGCCTATTTGTCCTTGTCTTTATTATCCTGCGCCTTCACACTCCACATATTGAGATTGTGGGGGCTGGCAGCAGCGATGAGGAGGTTCCCGAGGAGCCTGTGCCAAGTGCGCATGTATGCAGGATTGCTCGCAGGAAAGAGCAGCTACAACAGCACAGGCAACTCGGGAGTAAGGCTGCACGGTAATGGCCCCTCCTTCAAGAAGATAAAAGCAAGCCTTGAAGCGAACGTTCTTTGCAGGAAGCAAAGGCGTTTTGAAACTCAGCCTTGTGGACATTACAGTATCTTAAGCTGGACTCTTTTGTTGTGAAACATTTCTTATCTGTGATTCTTGGCAGTCTCATACAGTTTTGGCAAGGTTTGTGCTTATCAAAGTAATTAGTTTGCAGCAGCCTTTTAACCGGGGATTCGTAAGACTCATTAAAAAGTTTCTATTCCCTTTGATTATTGTTTGTCTTATTGGAAAAGGGTTTGGGTCAGAACACTAAGTCGTCATTGCTCTTTCCAGATATTCTTCCTCTCCTGGTCTTAACTGATATTTGATGAGAATGTTTCTTAAATCTAGGAGGAGATTCACAGCAGCCACGATTTGATCCATACTTACCGCCAGCACATCATCAATGACATGAACCAAAACAACCTCCACCTGTTTGTCAACTCTTACAACAGGTAATGACACCACTGAACTCTTCAAAGCGCTTAGGAGAACATTTGCTGCTGCTGTTCAGAGGGGGAATCAGTAACAGGATCTCAGATTGTTTTTGGAGATCTTGCTATCCAGCTCTGCTTGAGAAGCTTAGTTCTAAGCTTGGGGTTCCCACTGACATTTAAACCTCTTGAAGGGAGAATTCCAGAGAGGAGGGACAAAGAGAGAGAATATTAAAAGTGATATATACCTGATGACATTCGTTTCCTTGCGTTTAGTGGGCTTTTCAGGTCTATGCATTGTGTTTTTAACCTTTTGGAACAACACTGAATTCAAGTAGTGCTTGACCTACCAACCACAATTGAGCACCAAAATTTCTGTTGCTAAGTGAGACATCTGTTAAGTGAGTTTTGGCACATTTTATGAACTTTCTTGCCACCGTTATTTTAAGTGAATCAGTTGTTAACGTTAGTAACATGTTTGTTAAGTGAACCGGGCTTCCCCGTTGAATTTGCTTGTTGGAAGATCGCAAAAGGAATCACATGACACCAGGACATGGCAACCGTCATAAATACGAAGCAGTTGCCAACCATCTGAATTTGGATTATGTGACCACAGGGTTGCTGCAACAGTCCTAAGTATGAAAAACAGTCATAAGTTCCTTTTTAAGAATGCTGCTGTAATTTTGAACAGTCACTAAACAAACTGATCCCTGGGTAGAGGCAGATTTTTCTCTCTCTGGGCACAACTGAGAATATAGCTGCTGAACAAAACTCCGTACTGGCAACAAGAAGGGCATCCGGCCATCAAAACGCTCTACTAGCTCCATTCAGTTGCCCAGACTCCACCCCTCAAGAGATGACGGGGCGGTTAAATGAAGAGGGTGACTAAATGAACTGTTGTAAGTCGAGAACTACCTGTACTCAAAATTCAATTGAAAGCTAGAACGCCCGATTAGCAGTCCTCTAATCATCTACTCGTTTGGTTGGGAATACACATTAGCCACCCATCTCATATGGACAACTTCTTCCTATCTTTTTGGGGGAAATGGGCTTTACAAGTTGCACATGTAATAACTTCTTACAATTGTTTTTTTGTTTGTTTTGCAGCCGGAGAGATCTAGATATTGAACGTCCAGCTCCAGGAGTAAATGTGGATACTCTACAGTAAGTCTGGGTTACAGTCAGCCTTTTAGTGTTGGGTTGGAAAAAAAGGGACAGAGCGTTTCCTTGCCCTTCTTTCTGCAAAGGGTAAAAATCCTGGCGATGTCAACACATTGCAAAACACACAAAGGGAATGCTGGCTCACTAAAACATGACTTAACAGCCCTAGTAAATGTAGGCTTGATCAGAAGCTGTTAGCTGATCTTCTCAAAAGTCAGCCACCGCTGATAAGGCCAATGATAAGAGCATGTACTAGCAAGAGCACTTAGACTTATATACCGCTTCACAGTGCTTCACAGCCCCCTCTAAGCGGTTTACAGAGTCAGCCTATTGTCCCCAAGAATCTGGGACCTCATTTTACCAATCCTCCGAAAGATGGAAGGCTGAGTCAACCTTGAGCCTGGTGGGATTTGAACTGCCAAATTGCAGACAGCCGGCAGAAGTAGCCTGCAGTACTGGACTCTAACCACTGCGCCACCAAGGCTCATAGTGGGGTCTACAATGTGGAAAGATTGTCTTGACTCCTTATTGGGAGTCCGTGTGCAACCCATTGTAGCCTGACTGAAGCTTTGATGAAGATTATAAAGCTACTTTCTCAGTTTCCACTGAAATTTGGAGTGTACAAATTTAAGAAGTGAATAATGGTCCACGTTGTTACAAGGTGATCTTGGGCCCGTCATTGTCTCTCAGGGAAGGAAGGTTGGTTTGCAATGGCAAACCACTCCTGAAAAACTTTGCCTAGAAAATTGCAGGGGTTTGTCCAAGCAACCACCAGGAGTTAACAACTGACTCTAATCATCATCTTCATTTTTAATGATCCCATAATCCCTTGCGGGGTGGAGCCTGGGCAAATGAATGGAGCTAGCAGAGTGTTTTAATGGCCGGATGCCCTTCCCTGTTGCCAATGCGGAGTTTTGTTCATTCTCAGTGTGCCCAGAGAGAGAAACCTCTGCCTCTACCTAGGATCGAACTCACAGCCTCCTGATTGTCAGGCGAGAGCTCTAGGCCACCACACCACTCTTATTAACCCTGACTCTTAAGGCACCCCGCAAAAACAAAAGCAATAAATGGTAGAAGCCAAGAATGAGTGATAGCAGAACAAAACTCATACTTAAATAGAAATGAGAGCGGGGAGCTCAACCCCGTGATCCCTGGGACTAAGTTAGATTTCCAACCATACATTCAATTTTGCTACGGTGCAAAATGACAAGATTCAGCCTGTCATGGCAGCAGCGAAGGAGGAAATCAGTAAGAGCTGCTCCAATGATAACAAGCATTCATTTGATATTGTTATTTATATCATTTGAGCGAAAAGTGGAGGCATTAAAGCCAGCGTAATTATCGCCTTTGCAATCGCCTTTATGCATTTGGGGGGTAGGGGAAGAAAAAAATCTGGCATTACTCATCTAGTCCTAAATAAACTTTGATCCTACGTAGTGGCCATTTTCACTTGACCCGTAATAATTTGGCTGTATTTTGGTTTTTACGAAATTGAAAGGGTTCATTTTCCTCAACAAGTCAACACCTTGAGTTCGATTTGGTCAAACAACAACCCTGGTCTTTCTCTGATATAGTTTGAAGAAGTGCAAAGCCATTGACTCTTATGTTAATTGTTTGCTTTCAGGTGCCCTTCACTGTTGGTGGTTGGAGACAGCTCTCCTGCAGTTGACGCTGTGGTAAGTACACAATAGCAAAGACAGGAAATTACATACATAACATACATATGTATGTATGTGTGTATATATAGTACATACATACATACCTATGTTTTCCCCAAAACAAGACCCTGTCTTTTTTTTTTTTTTTTGCCACCAAAAAAGGCACCAGGTCTTATTTTCAGGGGAAGATTGTCACCCACGGACTCACTTGCGCATGTCGCCCCCAGCTTCCTTTTCACCGTCAGAGGCCTTCGGGAGCTGCTTCTGTGGCCGGCAAGGCTTTCCTGAAGGCCTCTGCAGCCAATAACAGAGCTCCAGATCCTGGAGTGGGCGGAGTCTTAATTAGGGCTTATTTGGGGGGGCGAGTAGGGCTTATATCAGGCACACGTGTAAAAATCAAGCTAGGACTTACTTTTGGGGTAGGTCGTATTTTCAGAGGAAATACAATATACATACATACATACCCCCAGTTTTCTTCTGAGCATGCAATCTCATTCAGTATTTCTCTTTAAGGATCACAACCTGTTTATATTAACTTCTGCCCTCCAGGATTTAAAATAATATCCCTAACAATCCAATGACGTTACTTGAAGATGGCCAAAAAAAAAAAAAAAAACACCACCTAAGTTTTGGAAATGGCAGTTTATCTAGGGCTGATAACCCAAGCGTAATATTGTACTAGTTCCTAAGGCTTAGATATAAAATATTAAATAGGGCTCACCTGGAATTCTGGATCCTGGGTCAAGATAGTTCAGTCCTGTGAATTTATTGCCACCTCATCTTTCTAAGTTTCTGAGATAAGCTGGACTAGCCATCACAGGCTGGTACCTTGCAAATAATCCCAGCCATTGTATTCCTGACCCATTTGGCTCAAATCAGATAAGACTGAAGAGTAATGATTTAGTTGAAGTTACTAATTAAGCTTCATAGCTAAGTGAGGGACTGAACAGGTTTGTTCCTGAACTAAGGTAGCAGCCGCTAGATATGAGTTGTGAGAAGAAACTTACCACAACAGTGTTGGGGATGTTGTGATGAAGTAGCCAAAGTGTGGGAAGCGATAGGCAAGAAACAGATTTCATGGACAAGCTACGTGTGAAGTATTCAGTATTTATGTCGTTTCAAGCGGGGGACTTTTAAAAAAAATAGATCCAGATCATTTCCAGAATCATTAACACTTAATCACAGCCTTATCTTCCTGCATTGTATTTTCGGTGAAAAATTCTTACTAGGCAATTTAGTTATTACAGGAATTAAAAGCAGCACTTACAATCAACGACAAGAGTTTCTCCGGCAATCTAAATAATAGCATAGGTTTGGAAGCTGGTCATTTGGATATTAAATCCAGCTGTCTGTCCAAGCAGGAATCTAAGCATCCTGACAGCTAGTGAGAGATAAGGAGAAGGATTAAATTCCTTCCATAGCTGACAGTCTTGAAACCTGGGGTAGATAGATAACTTGTGGTCTTCAGGCTACATGGAGTTTAAGGCATAATTTCAGAAGTCCTGTTTTTGAATATCAGCAAAGGGGGAAAATGGGGAGAGCAAAGGAGAATGAACATGGGCTGCTGCCAACTTTGAACTTTCACATCCCCTCCAGATAGATTTGTGAAAAACAGGAAAACAGAATTCCCGTTCCTGCCTGTTTAAGGAGCAGTGGGCTATCAGAAAAATAATAATGGAATATCAAGGGATGCTTTTTAGCATCCAGAATTTCACTAGTGACTTCCCTGAAATCCTCTGCAGGTTGTTCTTGACTTACAACCATAATAGAGATTGAAAAATTCATTGCTCAGTAATGCAGTCATTAAGTGAGACGCCACAGGATCGCCAATTGCTATCTCCTTCTGGCTCCCCCGTTGATTTTACTTGTTGGACGCTGGCTGAGAAGGCCACAAATGGTCACCATGTGACCTCAGGACATTGCGAGTGTGGTAAATGTGTGTTAGTTGCCAACCAGCCAAATCACACTTGTCAGGGTGGGGACACTGCAGCAGTGATCGATGCGAGGACTGGTAGTAAGTTACTTTTGCCAACACTGTTGTAACTTCAAATGATCTTTAAATGAATGATTCTAAGTTGGAGACTACTTATAATATATTCTGGAAATATAATATATATATATATATATATTCACTAGTTGAAGCCAAGCATAGAACTTACCCTTAAAGCAAGTTGCTTCCTGGATTCTAAAAATTGCATGCAAGAGGCTTTTCTGAAAATGTGATGTGAAAGCTCAGCTTTTTAGTTTAGTTTAGTTTACTTTATTGTCATTGCACCTTGTACAACGAAATCAAACACCGTCCTCAGTGCACACTATGAAAACAAACACAAACACACATCCTTCACATTCTATACATTGAATTGAAAACCCCTGATATTGCATTAATATTGCACTGTACAATAGAACTCAACAGAGTTACTGCCCTGGGATAGAAGCTGTTTTTCAGCTTATTTGTCCTTGTTTTTATTATTCTGTACCATCTGCCAGATGGTAATAGTTCAAAAAAAGAGTTCCCAGGATGAGATGGATCTTTGAGAATGTTTTGAACTTTCTTAAGGCAGTGGGAGGTATAAAGCTCTTCCAAAGAGGGGAGAGGGCAACCAACGATCTTCTGGGCAATGACGTTAACCCTCTGAAGTGCTGTCCTATCTGCCACTGTGCAATTGGCAAACCATACAGAGGTGCAGTAAGTTAAGATACTCTCTAAGGTGCAGCGGTAGAAGGTCACCAGCAGTTTTTTCATTCATTTGTTGTTTTCTCAGAAGACTCAGGTAGTATAATCTCTGCTGGGTCCTTTTGACCAGGGCTGCAATGTGAGCACCCCAGGCCAGGTCCTCTTATGGTAATTTTTTTTCTTTCCTTCTCTCTGTTCCTTTTGCTCACAGGTGGACTGTAATGCGAAACTTGACCCAACAAAGACCACGCTTTTAAAGGTAACCACTGGGACCCAAGCAGAGCTCTTCAGATATGTAGAAAGAGTTCAGGTTTTTGTGAAAAGGACTAGAGCAGGGGTGTCCAACCTTGGCAGCTTTAAGACTTGTGGACTTCAACTCCCAGAAGCATAACTGATGGGGGGATTCTGGGAATTAAAGTCCACATGTCTTGCAGTGTCCAAGGATAGACATCCCTGGACTAGAATGTTTTGATCTAGGTATTACTACTTAGAGCAATGCAACTAGCTGGGAGATGCACTAAGCAAATAGTAGTGAAATCAGAGAGAGGTAGGAAGCTGAAGGCTAGAAGTATGGAAGTCACTCTTCCTTCTCCTTGACTGACAAAAGTCAGTGACCTATACTTTTGCACAAGCATTAGGGCTCTTAAATGTAATTAGGGGTCAGTAGGTAATACTACTATGTTTAGAAATTCATCCCATAATTTTAATCCTGCTCAGAGGGAAGCGTGCTGGCTTACGTGGTAAACATGCACCATTTCATTGATCCACATCAAGCTTAATACAATAAATACTTAAGAAGGGTTCTAGGGTTGAGAAGTTTCTGCAGGCATTACAAGATTTTTCTGGAACTCAAAGCCTTTGTTCAAATCCCACATTCTATATTTAGTCTTTGAACTAAAATTTGAAAGTTATTTCAAAAGTTATTTCAAATTTTGTCCCACCCATGCAAATGGTGGAAAGAGAATTCTTTCTGTCTAGTTTAGAAGTTGGGCCATGAGTCAAAACAGGCCGATGGATTCAAAGGATGGTAGAACGATTGGTTGTCCTGAGTTTTCCCTCAAAATGTAGAGACACCTCAAATGCTGTGATTCCAAACAAGAATTGCATTTCGAATCCTGTTATGGTTAATTTAGTTAGTGTAAGCCTTTTCAGCTAGTAACTTGCCCATTCTCACAAAGAGATGGTGACTAAATCAAAAAGAGATAAGGGATATTAAATTCAGCAGAATTGTGGTAGACTTCCTAATTTAGTGTCCACCAGTACAGATGTATTTGCCTGTGAATTCCCAGAATTTTCAAGCAGCTGAGTGGAATTCTGGGAGTTGAAGGCCAACATATCTGAAGGACTGATGTGAAGGATCAATTTCTGGACATAAAATAAAATAACAGAGTTGGAAAGGACCTTGGAGGTCTTCTAGTCCAATCCCCTGCTTAGGCAGGAAACCCTATACCATTTCAGACAAATGGTTATCTAATCTCTTCTTAAAAACATCCAGTGTTGGAGCATTTGCAACTTCTGGAGGCAAGTTGTTCCACTGATTAATTGTTCTAACTGTCAGGAAATTTCTCCTTAGTTCTAAGTTACTTCTCCCCTTGATTAGTTTCCACCCATTGCTTCTTGTCCTGCCCTCAGGGGCTTTGGAGAATAGCTTGACTCCCTCTTCTTTGTGGCAAACCCTGAGATATTGTAACACTGCTATCATGTCACCACTGGTCCTTCTTTTCAGCAAACTATACATACCCAGTTTCAACAACTGTTCTTTATATGTTTTAGCCTTCAGCCCCCTAATCATCTTCGTTACTCTTCTCTGTAGAGTCTCAACATCTTTTTTACATCATGGAGACCAAAACTGGATGCAATTTCGACTTAGGGGTCACTGTGAAAAAAAGCATCGGTTTTAAGACTTACTAATTGTTCCATTTAGAAAATAAGTGCCTTCTCTTCCCTTTTACCATCAGGCATTAGGAAATCTGTAGCTGAAATGGAATATTAGTTTTAAAAAAAAACTCCCTTAAAATTCTTTTGAACAGTCTTCTAAGTGAGCGTTATATCCAGAAATCATTTTTTGCTTCTCACAGTCCAATGATTAAAATCAATTCTTCCCATGTATAGGGTTGTAGAGTCAAGCTGTGAATTGTGTGTCAGGGCAAGTAAGGTATCATTGAGAGAGAGGGATTTTTTAAAAAAAAATTAAAACACTACTATTTTTTTTTTCTTTTGCAGATGGCTGACTGTGGTGGTCTTCCTCAGGTTTCCCAGGTGAGAATTGATTTTGGGCAAGAATAGATAATGAGTACTGAGGAGAATGTCATGAGATTTTGGTCTCTTGCAAACCGGATCCGTTTATTTAAATTTACTGTCTGTGATGGAAAGCAAAACGCCATAGGTAGAATTGAGAGCCATTTTTGGGGTAGTGGTTAAAGTACCTGGCTAGAAAACAAGAGGCTGAGTTGAAGTCCTACTACAAGCCTTGGAAGCCATATTTTACTTAGAAGCTTCGAGGCTGCCACATTTTAGTGCCTGGGAATTTGGGAGGGAGGATTTCATAGAGAGGCAGAGGATTAGACTCAACAACGTTCTTTCTCAGAAAGTCAAGGACAAGTTACCCTGCACCTGGAGAGGAGTATCTGGAAGAAGGTCTCCAGATGGGATGATGATTGATTGGGCCATGTGATGGACTGGTGGGTGCAGGGGATAGAGTTTTGAATTTCAATTGGGAAGGGAAAACCTGGACCTCTCAGATTTGGGTTTTGCCAGATGTGCCAACATGAGTTCTTCAATAAATTCTTACTTGGGTGAACTTTGCTGAATTTGAGAAATGAGGGAGTTGTATTGGAACACTGACACCTACCTTAGCCATGAAAGCTGGCTGGGTGACTTTGGGCCAGTCACTCTCTCATCCCAACTCACCTCACAGGGTTTTTGTTGTGTGGGGAAAAAATAGGAGGAGAAAGTTGTGTTGGATATATTTATTGCCTTGAGTTATTTGTAAAAAATAATAAAGGTGGGAAGTAAAACACATAAATAACCAACTAACTAACCAGACTTGGCAATTTGTAACTGTACCAAGGTGACTTCATCATAGGTTTTAGTGTTGGGTAGTAGAGATATTTAAGCTGGCAGTACTTCCACAGTATTAAAAGTATCCAATGGATCTGAGAGCTTTTGTTTGGACTGCTCTTTGTCCAAACTCCGTTTTTGAAAATATTTAATAAGAGGTAATTATTTCATTCACATGCTACGTTTCTTTTTTTTTTTTACAGCCTGCCAAGCTTGCTGAAGCTTTCAAATACTTCATTCAGGGAATGGGATACAGTAAGTAGTTGTTGGCTTTAAAAAAAAAATTGGCTAAGTTTCTGTAGCAGGTGGGTGTCTGTGTGGCTGAAATTGTGTACGATGCATTCAGTTGCTTTTGTTCTAGAAGTCCCAATAGATCCGGCTGATAGTCTGCTTTGGTCATTGTTGTCTCTGGAGGTTTTGTGGTTCTCTTTTCCTCCCGTCTTCTTTCTAAATTATTTCCTCGATTGCAAAACACTTCTAATCGGTAGATTTTTGTCTTGGGATTTTCTATTGTGCTGGTTGGGTAGAAAAACTGCACCAGAGGGCACACAAATAAATCCTATTATTTGGAGCCTTGGCTATGGTCCCAAGAGCCTCTCCATATATAATTTTTAACACGATAAAAGTTAATCATCATAAACAAGAGAAATAATTCTGTTAACTCTACAAGAGTAGGGGAAGGAGTGGCAGAACTGGGGGTGGACCAAAGGTGCTTTTTCAGGAGTTTCTTGTATTTTATTTTGAAGATATTTTGCTGCTCATCCAAGAAGCTCCTTCAGCTCTGACAGGATAGTGGGGAATGGAAGGATTTCTATTCCTTGCAGACAGCTGGTCATTTGCATCCTTTTAAAGGGTCACCTGAATGGTGCTCCTGGTTCCTGTGATCCTGAGGGCACAGATAAACCTCCAAGTGCTTCAACGACCCTCTAAAAGGATGCAAATGACCAGCTGTCTGCAAGGAATAGAAATCCTTCCATTCCCCACTATCCTGTGAGAGCTGAAAGAGCTTCTTGGATGAGAAGCAAAACGTCTTAAAAAAACAAACCCAAGTCCAGTTGCCTCCTGGAAAAAAAAAACACCTTTGGGACAACCATGACCTGGATGACTTGAGAACCTCTACAGACTTTTAACTGGGGGTGGAGTTAAAAAAAAAGGGATTAATCTAGAACAGGGATCTTCAAACTTGGCAAGTTTAAGACTTGTGGACTTCAACTCCCAGAATTCCTCCTTCAGTCATGTTAGCTCAGGAATTCCGGGAGTTGAAGTCCACAAGTCTTAGACTTGCCAAGTTTGAAGACGCTTGGTCTAGAACCTCTATGTAGCCACACTAAGTCCAAAACCCCCTTGAATTTTTGGGGGGGCCTCTAATTCCAAGCAGGTAGTAACCATTAGTTGAGAAGATTCCTGTTCATAGGCATGAATAGTAATATATCAGATTAATTGGACCTTCACATTAATTAGACTTGATCTTTGATGTCTGACAATAAGATCAGTGGAACAGGCAAATAAAACAAATGTATTTCTTATCCTGATCTTACTCACTCTTTGATCTGAGGCCTAATTTGGTTCTCGGCTCAAAAAAAACCCTGCATGCAATGCATACAGAGGCACGTACCCCCTTCTCCATTTTTAAATAATCTTCCTCGCAAATTAAGGTACCTCCCGTGTAACCGCGAGTTTTCTGTTGACAGTGCCTTCCGCAAGCATGACCAGGCTAATGCGGTCCCGCACGGCTTCCGGTTCCAGCGTCACATCCACGGAAGGGAACAGGAGCAGAGCCCACACTGGGGAAGGTTCCCGAAGTCGGTCTCACACAGGCGAAGGGCCCAGGAGCAGAGCCCAAACTGGGGACACTCCCCGGAACCGTGCGGGCACAGACATCGAGCTGAGTTCTAATGCTGCCAAGACCAGTGGACAGTCGAGCCCCAAGTCGATGGAAGTCTCCTGTTAAAATGATGCCGGCCTAGTCCAAACCAAGATCAAGCAGCAGCCTCAGGCTGCGCGTTGCAATAATTAACCAAAGGGTTCCCCCCATAACAAATGGATCGCTGCCCCTCCCTTCTCCCCAAATCCATAGGGACCAATAAAAAAAAAAAGAGAAAAAAAACCACCATCTCAGATGCTCTCTTTCCCTAATCAAAATGGCTGATCTTTCCCTAATCAAAATGGCTGATCTTTCC